AAACTGGAAGAGATTCCTTTCTGGATGGGGAGAACAGCTATGTAAGGCAAATATTTCTTTCTTTTTAAAGGCTTTGTTGTGAACAACAGCTGCATGAAGTAGGACAGCAGCGTGGATTTGAAGATATTTATCGTGAGCTGAAGCAGAGAGGGCAGTTAGGCTGGTGACCCTAATTGAGAAAGTTACTGGAGCGGGGATGGGGGGTAGAGGAATGGGGGGTGGGAGGTGTGGGGGTGACAAAGAGGGTGTCTTCAAAGGAACAGGCTGGGAAAAAATATCTTTTGTTAGATGGTGATGTGGCAAAATGGTGCTTAGGAAGGCCACTGAAAAGCACAGACCAGTCAAGCAGGAGTGTAACGGTATGTGAGTGTTTGTGGGTTTCAGACACTGGGCAGAAAAGGTCTGAAGCTAACATAGATCTGTGGTTCCTCCATGAAGGGTGGTACAGAAGTTGCAGGTGCTAGGGGAGGCTGTGTGAAGTTCTTGTGTTCAGTGATGAAGAATTTAGGTGAGGAAGGGAAAAGGGTGCACATAGTGTGGCTCAATTTACCCTTGTGCTGATGGTTGAGATTCTCTGAAGAGGAGATCTGTATGAGATGGCAAGGGTGGCACATCTCATGGAGAGGTGTTGGTCTGAGAGATATGGTCAGGCAGGAGGTAAACTTGTCTGCCAAGCTGTGGAGGGAGAAAGATCATCAGGGACTGGAGAAGGTTGGAGAGGTGAATGCTGCCTTTGTAAATGAAAGTCAAAGAAGTAGAAATTGTTGTGTTGAAGTACTATGGAAGTGAAGGGGAACCATTGGGGATGGGGGAGGATAAGAACTGAAGATAGTAGAGCATGGCTGTTATTTATTGGGGAGTGACAGGGGAGGCTATAAGGGAGAGAAGAGTAACAGCATAATGCCAACCAGGAAAAAACTTTGAGGTTAAAGTAGTAAAAAATATCTGTAATGTAGTTCATGTGAGGATCAAACACAGAGGGGCAATTTTGTTCTCCTGATCACCTCTGCGAAGATATGGTAAATGGTGAGCAGGGGGCTCAACAGAATGCAAAATGCCCAATTTCCCACCAGCTTGATGGTTGGGATGGAGCAGAGCTGCTTTAGGGCAGGTGGCAGAAGGCAAGACAAGAACTTGTTGCAGAGAGCATCTGCTTGGTTGGTGACATCTTGCACAGAGATGACCGGAGTGAGATGGAGAGCAGTGCAAAAGAGTGCTGAGTGATTTGGGGAAGACATGGCTGTGGGAGAAACGGGATGACAGCTGAGCTCAGGGCCCAGTTGAAACCACCTGGTACAAAACCATTTACTTTTTGTCTTCCCTCCTTCTTACTGATAAAGTTGCCCTGGTCAGGCAGTCTTCATTCTGAAAATCTCATGGGTAAGCAGAAATTACAGTCTGTGCATGGATGGGAGTGTTTGTTTTTCTTTCTGTCCCTGATACTTTGTGGGAGAAGTAAGTGGTTAATGTAATTCATGTTTATTGCTAAATGTCGTTCTCTGATGTTCTCTTATTACAATAGCTTAAACTCAAAGCTAGCAATAAGCCAGAGGGATAGCATCTCATAAACATAGCACTTTTTCTTATAACCCCATAAATTTTTTGAAATCACCTTTTCTGAAAAATGAAAAGGTCACTTTGTCTTGCAGAAAACTCCTCTGTTTTGTTTCACAAAATAGCAGCACTGTGTGGAAGTAGACCTCAAAATCCTGTTCCTTTCTACCCTCACTGCTGCACCCCACCCTCTTTTTAGAAAAGTTTTTTAAAAAGAGCTTGATTGCTGTTAGGAGCCCATCTAAGTTTTGGTCAGCTGGCTGTGACTTTCTTCTTTTCTGTAATTCATCAGAACACTTTTTTCCTTTTCTTGTAATTGTTTTTCTTGGCCCCTGGTTTTGCTCAGGGCTCCTGCATACTGCATGGCATTTGTTTTGGATGCTTTTGGTCATCTAGTTGCAGACAGCAAGTACAGTGGCTGGCAGATACTTCGGAGGAACTTAGGACAGAGCGTATTCTTTGTAAAGCCAAGTTGACAATTCTTTTTAGTTTTTTCTTCTCCCTTCCCCCCTCCACAACATAATTAGCTCTGTTAGACTAAATTCATTTAAGTTCCCTTGGGCTTTCCTGCCCTCTGACTTTTGCAATAGTACATGCAGTATTTGCATTAGATAAAAAGGTCAGAATCATTTACTTCATTATAGAAAAGTAATCTGCTTGTTAAAACTGTTAGTTTGTCAAACAGTGTAACACAGTATTGTTCTGGCAGAGACTGTGCTAGCAAACACCAGTGATTGTGTCTCTTTCATGGAGTGACAGACTAAAGATGAACTTTGTAGCTTAGAAAAGCAGATAGCCATCGTGACAGTCTTTGAAAAGCCTTCAGAATTTGAAGTTTCTGGAAGATACGTGGTGGGTGCTATCTTGAAATCCTGGCTGAATACAATGCAGAGCACCCGGTCTCCTAGCTGTGTGGTACTGCAAAACCTATTATTACTGTGATACTCTCTATCAGCCTCATTAGGGATGATGAATGAGCGGTCACTGCTGAAGCATTTGTTACCCTCCTCTGAAAGGACCCGCTGACAATGGTTGCTGCCTGTGCATGTGCCCAGGGTATATTAATCAGCTAAGCTACAACTACAGCAATGCTAGCCTTTAAACAACAAAACGTCATCTGCATTTCCGTTTAAATCCCTTTTGAACGGACTTCCTTCCCCTCTGTGGAGTCGCCTTCCAGCTCCCTTGCCTTGAAGGGCTGCTTCATGCAGAGACATGTGAAATCTCATATGCTAGTTTATTGCTGTCATTCTCCTACACAAAAGAGTTTGACTCTTGGCTCTTCCAAGGCTGAACAAGTTGATTTGGCTACGCAGTGTTAGTATCAGCCCTCAGTACCCCAGGTCTGCAGTAGGATCTCTATGGTGTGCCAATACTCCGTGTTGCCTTCCACGGATACCTGATGTGCCTCAGAACATGCTTCCTGCAGGACCTAGGCTAGGAAGCCTGGTCTCCTCACTGATGCCTGCCACTCCTGTAGCAGCCTAAGCTCAGCCTGGGGTTGTAATAGCTGTCCTTGCTTCTTCTCTCCTTTCCCATGTCACTTTTCCTCTGAAGGTGGTGTTCCTAGCGCTGGGCGCATCAGGACCCACAGGCTCACAAAGGCAGACATCCAGGTGTTTTGTAGGCTGGGGTGAGTGAGTGCCATGCCTGTTTGTGGGGCTAAGTGCCCTGCTTGATAACTGAGTGTTTGCTGGGACTTGTACCCAGGGAATGTTGCTTTGGCTAAAGGGATGCTGTGTTCAGGTGTGCTGAGGAGTGTAGCTGTAAACAAGACTTACAGGAGATTTTGTTGCTGCCTCTTGAGCTTGCTCTGTAAGTGCTCAACTTGTCAGGTGAATGTGACTTCTTTCATACCTAAAGAAAAACTTTTAGATACTGTTCAAATGAAGATGTCAACTTTCCTATTGACATATTTTAAACTGAAAGAGTAAGATGTCACTTGGATGTTTCTTCACAGAGGAGTGGGGGTTGAGGACAAAGAGACTTTTTTTCTTCCATTGGAACCAGCTGTGGTTTGTTTGGCTTTTGTGCATTATGATGGGCACTCTGAATTGAAATCCAAACTGGAACTAGCAGTTAATATTACAAACAAGCAGCTTAATTTGACTAAACGAGCTTTCATATGATCACAACCAGGCTTTGATGCTGAAGAGTGGGATTTTCATAACTGCGGAAGTAATTTGAGAACATGCTTGCACCCAAAAGCTAGCAGGGCTTTTTTTTTCCCCCCTCGAATAAATATGGTTCTGGTGATGATTCATACTTTTGTTATCCTCAGCAAAAGAGTGGCTTGCATGTGTAAGTTGATTTAACAACTGAGAGCCTCTGCTTTGAGAAAGAACTTACAAAAAGTTCTCAATTTTCTTTGATCTTTTTGTTTGGATGCTTTTTGTTTTCTTTTGTCTGTGGTCTCTTGCCTGGCATTGACTGACTTTGCAAATGAGAACTTCTGTGAGATGCCAGTCACTGCCTTATTCCTGGATTTATATTTAAATGTTATCAGAAATGAGTATGATGAAGAGGTTCAGTTGATAAACACTAGCACTAAATGATCTAAGTTAGGGAAAGAAACATACCAGACAGTTGTCTTGTTGGTTTAGCTGGATGCCTGATTTTTCACGCCATTCATTTCTAAGACTGGAGAATCTGATAGTTTCCTCCTGTTCTTAGTAGCATACTCACTTTCTGATATCAGAAGTAAGACTAATTAAAGTCTTTAATACAATCACTTTTTTACTTATTTAAAATAACTTCATGTTTTAAAACACATTAAATTGTTCTGTGCCAAACCATCTCTCCTGGATTTTTAATTTTTTTTTTAACTTACTTGTAAAGCTTCAAAACTAGAAACTGATGGAGTGACGGAAAAATTAAACCTGTAGAAACACACTTGAAGGACTTTGCTCATTCTGTATGGATGCCAGGAAATTTTGGGGGCATGTAGAGCGAGTGTAACTTCCTAATAGCAGGCTGTGTGCTTGCATACCGCGCTAAGAAGCATCGTGGTTGGGATCCCAGTGGTATTGATGGAAAGCATGCAAAGAATTTTTATTAAGGTTGTTTGAAAGCTGAGGAACTTCTTTTGAAAGCAGTAGAGTGAGCACTTCTGCTTCAGAGAAACTTGTTCTGTGAATGTCTGAGATCGTGATGATAATGATGGCGCTTCAGAGTTGAATCCTACCAACGTAATCCTCTGGGATGAGAACTTAGTGTGTATCTTCAGATATTAAGGTGGCATGTGAAAGCATACCTATTGTCAGGCAGGGTGGTGTCTTGGTAGCTGTGGTTATATGCTAACAGGGGGGCTTAATAGGGTGTTTGTAGACCAGAAAGCACTGATATGTATAGAAAGGAAAGATCATGGGCACTGTGTTTAAGTGCCAAGCTAAGACATTGTGCTTTGGTGATGTCTGAAAGCAGATACTCTTTGTTTTCTCTTGCAGTTTGGGGCAGAGTTCAGAAGGTTCTCCCTAGACCGCTACAAGCCAGGAAAGTTTGAAGACTTCTATAAACTAATTCTTCATATTCATCACATAGCCAACCTGGAAGTGATGATTGGATATGCTGATGTGCATGGAGACCTTCTCCCTATTAATAACGATGACAACTTTTTCAAGGCTGTTTCAAGTGCTCATCCGCTCCTCAGGGTTTTTATACAAAGACAAGGTAAGATGTGATTCTCATTTCAGTGTACTGAAAAATGCTGGTACAAGGTGGCCCTCATTTAAAGGCTGGGGTGATGTAAGAGGAGCTTAGGATCTTCTCTCAGGGTTGCAGGCTGCTCCTTCAGGCAGTTTGTTATGATGTGCAGAAGTGGTGTGGTGTCAGTGGAAGTAGAAGTATGGTATCTGGGTATCACCCCAAGACCCTTCTTTTCCCAGGTGAATGTGCCTCGTGCTGCCTGTGCTCTGTTATCACTGCAGCCAATAGTGCTGCTCTGCCTGATTGTGGGAGGGGGATTATAGTACTGTATTACTGCAACGCATTTAGAAATCCCTGGTCTAGTGGTTACCGACCCTGCACGTGGCAGGGGTTTGAAAATAGATGATCGTTATGGTCCTTTTCCTCCCAGACCATTCTATGATCCATCGTGATAGTAACATCCTACTCAAATATTCACGTCTGTGTAGTGTATAAACTGAAAGATATATAGGTATGTAAGAGGGGAAGAAAAAAGTTACGCTGCAAACGAAGTCTTGTTTGACTCTGATCTGCAAACAGATGATCTCCCCTCTGTCCTTATGTAAATGACTTAATTTTTTTTTCTTCCTGATTTTTAAATCGAGTATTGGGCAGAATTGCCTGAATGTCACAGTGAGTTCAGGTTTAAGCTGCTGTGTGTTATTCTTGTAAAGCTTTTATTGCAGATAACTGAAACTATTCTCTACCTTCCCCCCAGAGACTGTGTTTGACAGTTGCTTCAGACAAGGTGTCTTCCCACAGAACTCATTAAATCCCACAGGAACCTGATGCCATGTTAACACTGCTTCCACAGTGTTTTCAGACACGTAGCGTCTGAAACAGGATTAGGAATTAAACTCGCATCGGTAGCAGAGTCAGAAATGGGACCTCGTCTGTGACTTGGAACACTCTTTCTGGAGCTGGACTCTGCTGCTTGGGTTTTGTGCTGATTAGGATTTGGCAAGGGGCTCCAGCCTGCTCACTGATAGGAGCTAATTTAGTGTGCAGTTTAATTTGGTGTCATCAGATACAGAGATCTTTGTGGCCCTCCCCATTCAGAGTGTGTTATCTGCCTCCTTTTAGATCTAAACCTAGACAAGTTTTGTTTGTTTGTGTGTCTGTTGTATGAGTGGGAATGTCTGTTAGAGAGGACTTGAGTTGCTGTCTCTCCTTTCTCATACAGGAAATGCCAAGTCAGATGATAAACCCTCTTATATCTCCTTCCTGCAATGCCTGTTAGGGCTTGAATGTTCATGGTGGGTTAAGTCATAAGAAGTTGCTTGCATGATTTTGTCATGCCTGCTTCAGTTCAAGTTCATTCATGTGCCTCTGGATCAATCCCATTCAAAATGTGGCTGTTCTTGCTCTGTGCAGACCACTGGAAGTTGAGTATCCCTAGCTGTGCTGAGAGAGGAGTCGAAACAGAACTGCTGGTCACACAAGGAAGCAAAGGAAAGAAAAATTGGTTAGGTGTGGAAAAAGTGCTCTCCCATTATTCAGTAAGAGGTAGTGTGCTATGGGTAAAGGTTTTTAACTTTTAACCGTAGTGGAAAAATACAGCATTTTTCCCTCTTTTTTTTTTTCTTTTTCTTTTTAATTTTAAATTTTAATTTTTAATTTAATTTTTTTTTTTTTTTTAAATTTTAAATTTTAGTGGAAAGAATTACGCTGACTCAAAAAGGAAGCTTATATAAGAGGAAAGACAAATCAGTGCTTCTCTACATGTGGCAATGCCTGAAAGCTTTTCCAACGCGCATTCTGCTGTGCTCCCTCTAAAGCCAAAATGAATTCTGGTCAGTCCCTTTGATTAATGGCACCTTTTAATATGGGACTCCTGTGGTTAACACTTGAGACACATACTTGTCCAAGGTGGTTTGGAAGCATCCACGTTTCCTTGTATGGGAAACAACCTTGAGAAATTGTTCCCTTCAAAATTAGCATGGGTTCCTGGAATCTTGTTTCTTTTCCTCCTTTTTCCTCCACACCTCCCGCCCCCTGCTTTCCCTGAAGCAGTGCTGGCCCTTCTGCTGGAGAGCTGTGCAGGAGAGCAATGTGCTAGGCACCTTTCCCAGAGAGCAGGAAACCATTGTGCCATCCAGGGGAATGTGGTGTGTCTGCAGTGCTTCAGCTCACACCCTAAACTCTGGCTGCGGAGGTGGGAAATTAAGTTGACAAGGATGCCAGTAAAATATGAAGCCAGTCCTCTTCTGTGACTTTGAAGGAGACTGCAGAGCACAGACTCTTAAGTCTGCTGGGTCATGGATTGCTGTCCATTGGTGGGAGAAATTCCAGGAGGTGGCTGCCAAAAGTTGTTCCTGCAGTGTTACAGAGTGGAGGGGTTTGGGGGACAGAAGTACGTAGACATGGAGCGAGTGAATAGTTGAGCTTCAGGCCTTTTTGTAGTAGAGTGGACTGTTTATCAACTACTTGATGAGTCATTCTATTTTTCCAGATTATAGCTGGGTTATCCTTTCTCTTGTCAAGTAGGTTAAGTAATCACATTAAATGAGTTTAACTGTTTGTTAGCAGAGTGACAGAGCAGATGGCTTACTCTTTGCATAAAAATCAAGCAATACTTTGCTAGGTTTTTTTTGTTTGCCTTGTTGGTTTGTTTTTTTTTCTTTTAAACCTGAGCTTCGTCTGGCACTCCTTTAATTCAAAAGTACTTTCCCAACTTGTCCCCAGAGGCCAGTCACATAGATTGATTCTCACATGCCAGACTGATGTCTAGGTGTGAGATAGCTGTATTATTCTGTGTCCTCGTTCTTGTTCGTGTCTCAAGAGCCCCAAAATTTTCAGGATCATAGCAACTGTTCCCTCTTCTAGGCAGCGGATGTCAGTGCTTATTAGCCAGCCTTTTTATTCAGAACTGGATTCCCAATGTGCCTGCAACAGTTACTCTGGATGCTTTTGGGGGTCTTTAAGCCCTGAGGACATCTGCTGGTTAGATCTGGGTGAACTCAGCTCAGACTGATCCATCTGCTGAAAGCATGTGTTGCTCTTCCCTCCAAATTGCAGTGCAGATAGAAATTCTAATTAGACAACCAGACTATAAAAAGAAAAGCCAGTTTTTCTTTGTCTTGCTTTCCCAGGCTACAGAATGGGCTGTGTCCTCAGTTGCTGTAAGCTGATGTGGCTCTTGACTTCATTAGCACAATAGCAGTTGATATCAGCTGATGCTTCCAGCCCAAGAATTTATTTACTTGGCTGTGATTGATATCAGACATATCCAGAACTCCATGGAAGATGCCTGCTATTGGGGGAAAGATTGGATATACCAAGGACTCTAGAACAATGCGAAGAATTTATAGATCTGTTTGACTTACTCACAATAACTGAACGCTTGTACTCTAGTTGAAACCTGTGTGAATGAAGAGCTTATCTGAAGATACAGTTGTTCACTGTTTTTTTCAAGACTTCATTTGTTTTATGTCTGATTTAAACTACAGCTCTGGGGAGGTGCAGTCTTCTGAATACAGCAAAAATGTTTAAGCTGTGAGTTCAAACAGAAACAAAGACCTGAAAAACTGAAAGGGATCAGTATTACATATTGCAAATGCATTTTGTTTCTCCTTGCATGATTAAATGGAATGACATGACTGTCAAATCTTGTTTGTAATACCTGTCTCTCAGAGTCAGTATGTGTGCAAACTAGGCTGTTTTGGAGGCTTTTAAAAAGGATGGAATAATTGTAAATGCAGTGACTCTCATTATAAACCTGCCTTGAAACAGCTCCCTGAATTCTGTGAGTGAGATACGAGGATATTAGTGAAGATCTGTGAGATAAGAGATTCCAGGATTTTCCCTCATTTGCTTGGATATATCAGTGTGGCATGCTTAACCTAGTAAGGTTAGAAACTGAGAAGTATTGCAGGATGAAGATGCTGATCACCCTGCAAGTACTCTGCAGCATTTTTTTCCCCAAGCAATGGAGGTAGGTCCCAGTCTGTGATGCTGAAGAACAACAGGCATAGTGAATGGTGTGATGTTTGGTTCTAATTCTGGTTGGGCTTGCTGTTGTAAATCCAGGCTGGGTTGTGGGAGAAGTGAGGGTGACTGATGATGACCAGACTTTCACTTCCTACTAGTCTGTAGGATTGCATGGGCAGTAACATAAGAACTGCTGCAGTGAAAGTAGCAAAGCATGTGAGAAAGCTTGTGAGCAGCTTGTTCCCCTCTTGATCCCAGGCTGAGGTCACGTTAACTATTGTTTGTTAGGACTGTTTTGTTTTTTTCCCCATCACTGATGGAGGTGCGTTCTGATGATGTTTTGAGGTTTTAGACTTCTGCTTTCTTTGCTGAGCTTCTGTAAGCATCACTGTTTTTCTGAGTCGGTAGTACAGGCATACAAGTATCTCTCTTGGCAGAGCAGTTCTGAAAGAATACCTGAAGGAGTTGGGGTTTGGAGAAAAAAAAAACAACAAACTTGTTTAAATATTCAGGGAGTCTTGAGGAGATGTGTAGAGTGTCAGCAGGAACTGGAATTGTGGCTGTTGTGTGAGTACAGCTGTTCATTGTATGAGTCAGCAAGTGTATTGCTACAGCTCTTAAGCAACATCCATAAAAATAACAGCGAACTAATGCATGTTGGGAACCTTTATCAAGCCTAAAGCATGTTACAGATCAAATTTGCAGTCTTTCCATTAATGGAGTTAACTTTAAAACTTTCTAAAAGTTTGAATGATTTCCTACAGATGGAAGACAGCTGGAATTCTGACCTGTCAGTTGCTGGTTCGGCATTTCTGTACGTTGCACCAGGTATTAGACTTCCTACAGGCACACAAAAGAAACAGCAAAAACCTTAAGCTAAAGAACTTTCTAACAGAGCAACTAATCCTAAGACACTCTATAAAGCTAGCCAGAACAGAGCATAACATAATAGTTGATGCCACAAACAAACTGCAGCTGTTAATTGAGGTGGCCTGAAGCTAGTGAAGGCCGATGTCTTGTAGTACCTTTGTTTTGTTTTGCTGTACTTGTATTTT